AGGGGGAAAAAATACAGGAGCAAACAGCGAAACCCTCAAGCAGAGCTTGCCCAGGAGCTGAAGGGCTTGGGAGCCGGCCCTGTCAGGAGCGCCCCGCCTTCCTCCCTCCTGCTCAGCGCGTCCCGGGCCAGTGGGGGTTGTGTTCTGTAGCTTGCAAGCATATGAAGTCTTACACTCAGGAATCCCTGGTCGCTGATGTAAATTATAGACAGTAACTTATTAGTTATGTGGCCTGGTGGTAGTTTGTAGTAGCCGCCTAACATTTCTTCTCAGTTTCTCATCCATAAAATAAACTAGGCCTGTGTAGTACACTGAACACCGACATCCTTCCTACTGCCTTATTCAGAAAAAGAGTTTTACTGGATTTGAGGGAGAGATTATTGGGTTTTTCTTGTCCCTAAGACTCTGCTGAAGTTCTCAGCCTGGGCTTAACAAGACTTAAAATTAACACTATTACTGGGCTCACAACACTTAGCACTTTTGTAATCTAGATAAATATGAGGAAGTAATTATTTTTCAGCTGCTGTGAGTAAGCCATGACAATATCGTGGTTGATTTCAAATGCCAGTAGTTACTTTGGTGGAAATTTGAGTCTGTTCCAGTTTGGAATGACAATGCCTGGGAATGCCTCTGACCTTTGTTATCAGTCAAAATGTTCATTGTATTGCAGTCATTTAGCAGGTTTGTGTGCAGTTGTTTTTAAAAGGAAGATGGGAAATACTCAACAGCTTCCTAAGATGTGCTAGAAAACTATGTTTGTGTGTGTCCTTCTCCAAAGTTTAAACTGTGGCTATGGTTTAGTTATACTGTGATTCAATAAAGCATGAGAATGAGTCAAGGTGTGGTCTAGTTCTTCTATTCTGCCATTTGTAACTTGGTTAGACCTGATCGACAGGACTTCTGTTCCCATTGCTGCCATTGGTTTGCTGAACGATGGTGATCATTTTGCTTCTCTGTGGAAAAACCGAATAACAAATATGGATAAGGATTAGTCCCTAAATTATTTTTGTTCTTTTTTTCCCTGCATAATGTAATATTGTCTCATCTAAAGATCATCTTCATAGCCATTAATTCTCTCTGTAGCCTTCTTAAATAGATAACGAAGCGCACAGCAGTGTGTGGGCTGTGGATTTACAGTGTTTGTTTTATGTGCTATGGCTTCAGCCAGTCATGAAAAGGCCAGATATGTTAGAGTGACATTGTACTGGGTGCATAGAGGAAGCCTCTGGCAAAGCTGTCCTAAATTCATGAAATGTGAATTTCTCCTTACCCATTTATTTTTTTACTGTGGAATTGAAAATCATTTAGACTTAAGCTCCGGAATCTCTTCAGTTGATGGCCATAGTGTATGTCTTAAGCAGGGTGGCTCTGGTAATGGGAGCAGTCTAACTGCAGTAACATCATGGTCCATATAAGCTAATTCATCATGCTTCATGATACATACATAAGTACGTCTGTGTACTCTTGTATCCATATTTTTGGCAAATTGCTTTTGAAAATCCCACTTTTAAATGCTTCAGACAACGGGGATTATAGAAAGTTCTGAAGCTGAGATGAATGTTGTGGGTTTTTTACTGATTATCATGGTGATGCTTACAGGTCCTGCATAAAAATATGCAAGTTGGGGATGGATTCCATTAGCATCAGCATGTAGTGTTCTTTTCTAAAAACTTGGTGTTGCTACAGGAGAGTTCAGTTAATAGTTCATATCACAAATAGATTTCTTCAGAAAAAGAATGCATGTGTAACCCAACATGTTCGTAAATATTAATGAAGAACTGAAGAGACCATAGCTTGTTGTATGGTAGTGCTGGGATAAAAACTGTTATTTTGTTGTTACCTATAGTACTTCATCAGCACTGTACCTTTCAATATTCACAGGCATTCTTAGAGTTAAGAAAAAATAAGATTAGACACATTGTTCAAAAGAAGTAGCACTGTCTTGTACTGTACAGGAAGCAACAACAGAATGTAGAATTGGGATGTTAATGTTACAAATTCTGACTTTTTCAAAGTGGTGTTACAATTGTTTTGTGAATATATGTTTCTATTAGTAAATAAAAATGGAAGTCTTCTGACTACGGTATTGGTAGTGTCATCCAGTGATGCTGAGATTTGCTTAGGATTTTTAGGACCCTCAATTTTTTTTGAGGAATGTTTTGATTAGCTTTTGACAGCTGAACTCAAAGTTTCCGTATTTGTCCAACTTTTCTTTATAACTGTGCAGACTCTACTTGCATTATTTTAAATGGGAACTGCTATTCTCACATAATTGCATAAAATGAGGAACAGTTGCTTCATGAAATGCATCAGATAGCACAAAACCAAGATAAAATCACAAGAACTAGCATTTTGACAACCTCTTCATTTTAAAAATAAACACAGATTTCTTTCCCCATTTATTAACTTTGTCATTCTTAACTTCTGAAGAATAGTATGATACTAGCAATATGGAAGTAATAGAAAATAATTTATTATTCCTGCAAGAAAATGTTTAAGTTTCTGAGGATGTTTGTCTTTCATGTACAATTGCCTGTCATGTATGCTGCATGTTGTACAGTGTTCAGTAATTACTGTTTTACAGTGTAGGTTCTGTTAAGTCCTCAAAGAGACAGTCCTGGAAGTAAGATGATGTTGACTATCATGTAAAATAAATCTAGAAGGAGGAGAGTGCTGTCACTGAGTTACTACTGAGCTTTTTAGACTTTTTTTCTTTTTTTTTTTCCAAAATAATGTCTAATACCAGAATGTGGAAGGCCTTAAATACAAAAAAGTTGTCTTCTGTGGAAACAAACTGCTGATTGAGATTAGCAGAACTATTGTGTCTTGAAACTCCAGTCCTGTGCAATATTTTATTGACCCTGCCTGGTGATCAGCTTGCTCTGAGTGATTGTTCTTTTAATTAATAGTCTAGTTGGGGGTAATTGCAGATACTGTTCTATAAAATGATTAATCATTCTCTATGGTTTTTTTAAGCAGTTTGCTTTGGTATTTTGTGAATAGGGTCTCAATGCATGATTTATATATTATGTAACAGAACAGCATTTATTCTTATTTATTTTTAATATGTCATCTTTATATAGGATTTTAAAATTGAACGGTAGGTGAAAGATATGAGAGGTTCACACACCTCTCAGAAGAGGTGTAACTTAATGAAAAACTGAATGTGCGGTGAATTGAGTCATGAAGCTGGCTCCACATGACAGCTCATGACTAAACTGGGTTTTCATCTTTTTCTATCAGTGATTAAAATGACACAAAATGTTTTTGTTAAACAGGAAATGCTATATTATAGTTTAAAATACATGCTATAGAAATATATTATTTACTTGAAATAATGAGAAATGATGTTTCATAATGATTTTCATTAAGGCAAAATGGTATTTCAGAAGCTTAATTTAACTTCAAATATAACTCTGCATTCACACATCAGTCTATGTGTAGGTTGTTAAACACTACAAAGACCTGATGAAAATAATTATGTCAGTATAAAATAAATTTAATTCCTTTTTTCTGAATTTTAGAAATCATCTGTACAGACAATTGGTGAAGAACAAATACAGAATCCTTACACGGAGCTCCTTGTGTTGAAAGGTCATCAAGATATAGTACGATTTCTAGTGCAAATAGATGATTGCAGGTATGAAATTGGATTTCAGATTGTTTCACAGCATCCTTGGCAATACTTCAGAGAATATTTATGAAAATGTAGTAATATTTTTAATCTTCTGTTTCTATTTTTGGTGGGGGAGGGCAGGAAAAGTCTGGAGTTAAAGGCAAGAGATGAACACTCTCTTTATTTTGGTGTTTTAGTACACATTTTGGCTTCTCTTATAAGTTATACTTTCTTGAGAAAATAATGGTGATGGAATTATGTTTCTTGGTACAAATTCATTTGTTTGAAAGAAATGCCTTTAGCTTATTCAGCCCTTCTTTTTCAGGCAGTTCCTGGGTTGAATGTTCCCTTCTGTACATGTATACCTACATTTTCTCCCAGGACAATATGCAGTAGTGTCTGCTTCTGCTCTGGGTGGATGCATGTGTTTTATGTTTTTGAATTGAGGACAGCTGTTATGTCACCTTTTGGTTGTACAAAAGAATGTAATAGACTCCTACAGATACACTGTAGCAATGACCATTCTCAACAATATTGAATGTTGCTGTTTCTTTCTTTCCAATCTTTTGTTACACTTTCTTCTGAAACTCTAGTGCTTAATTTACTTGAATTTCTGTTAATGCAACTTTTTTCTGAACTTCTCAAATTTTGAAATTGTCACGATTTTATTCAGAATGACTACTTAGTAAATACAACATATGCCTAATCTGTGCATTACGTATCTCCTCCAATTTGATCTTGTTCAACTTGCTGTACTTCTTTTTTGAAACCTGACAATTCCTTTGTTTCTCTCTTCCAATTTTTACCTTTGCGTATGTTTGAGTATATTCCCTGACAATCTTTGTCTATTCTGTTCTTAGTTCCTGGTACCTATGTCTGACTTATTGTGAACTCTGAGAATGGAGTTATCTGAAAACTGGTTATGAAGCAGGGATGCAGTCACTACATTTACCATTGTCACTTTGGAAGTGTGACTGAGAGAATGAATTATGGTAGTTTTTTACATTACGACCTGGCTTCTATCCTAGCTTTGTCTATATTAGCCTTGTGTGTTCTCTAATTTAACTTAATCCTGCAAGAGAGGAAATACTTCTCTGCCTCACAAATAAGGTTTTGAAGCCTTTAGTCAATAATAAGTGTAGTGACTCTTGGCTGATGTGGAGAATTAGGTAGAAAACCTTTAGAACTATGAACATAAGTAATAGACAAAAGTCTCTCTGTTAAGGAGCTGTAGTAATTTATATCTTTTATGAGTTAGGCACAGAATGGGATTTCTAATATATTCATCAATACACCGTACAAAGTTAAAATAGGTAAGAGTTTGGTTTATATCCTTGCAGTGTACAGCAGGTGTTTTATGAAGGAAGGTTCTTTCCTTCCCCATGCACACTGATTGGGCACATGGTCTCTTCCAAATTTGGAATGCCTGCAGAATCTTATTTTCTAATAATTTTGTAAATACACACACACAGATGTATATACACACACATTCTTAATGTCATAAATATATATATCAGAAAAGTTACATGCATTACCATGAAATCTATTTTTCTACATTATAGTAATCCACCAGTAATCTAAAAATAGAAGAGTCTTGTGGGGGTTTTTTCAGTCCTTTTTTTCCCTGACAAGATATTAAAATAACCTTTCCTCAAAGTACACTTTTCCCAAAATGCATACTCAATAAATGTAATTGGTCTTTATAAAAATACCAGAGTATTCTTAGATTGCATGCACTGTCTGATGCAGAGAAATCTTATACCATTTTGGGCTTCATTGTATGGTAGCAGGTAAATTATTGAAGCTAAACGAATGATAATCAGTGTAAAACTAAAGCCCGGATGACTGTATTGAAGATAAGTTATAAAATAGCATATGGGTAAGTAGTAAGTTATATAGCTCGTTAATATTCTGAGAGTTTGAGGAGTTTAATAGAGTTGCTTCACTGGACAGTAATTCTAAGGTTTTATTTATCAAGAAGACAGTAGTTTCTGGATTGTTAAACAGCTGATAAAGTTTTTCACTTGATTCTTTTCAGTAAAATTAGTATTGTTACTCAGCTTCTGAAATGTTTTTATTTAGTTTCTGCAGCTATTCCATTGTGTGCTTTTTGTCAACTATTGTAAGCCAAGTTTCACGCTTCAGGTCTGTAGATAATATCATCTTATTGAGAATTTTGCAGAAGGATTTTCTTGTTTTCTCAGTGGCTCAGCTAAAACCAGTGAGTGGAAAATTTTCTCAGATTGGTTTTTGAAGATACTAAATGAATCCTGTATAAATGTAACAGAAAGCTGAGGTTTTTTTCTTCTTTTCTCTTGTACTTTTTGAACGTCGTCAGGGTCATATTGATTGGAAGATCACTAAAGAAGGCTAAGCCTCAGCAAGAGTGCTCCAAAAAATGAACTGAGATAAAATTACATGTAATACTCTAGCATTTGACACATTAAACTAAACAGAGTTCATAACACATTTTAAGAATAGCTTTTTTGTTGCTCATTTGACCATTCCTTGCTCCTTCAGGAAACAGACAAGGTTATAGATGATGGTGATCATGACTGGAAGAGAATCAGGTGACCCATGAATCTCCACCTTGGTGAACAGAATGTGTAACTGTAGGATAACTGACTCTACAATATACCTTTATATTTAAATAAGAAATCCTGGTTAGAAGATGAGGAGGAAAATACACAAACCGGCACTCTATTGAACTTCTGTGTTGATGAATTATACCTTCTTTCAAACACCAGTTTTCTTCCCAGAATTTTGTTCAAGTGGCACACACCTCCAATATTACTCAAGACAGGAATCGGAATTTAAAGTGTTATAGCTGTATTGTGAGTCTTACTATTTTAAGTTCTTGATGTTGTAACAAAACAAGGTGTAATACAGCTAAGAGGCAACTAAAGATAAGAAATTAATGTTATCAGAGGCGTGCATGGAAGAGTGGTTTTTGCTGTAATCTTTTTAAAGAAGAGGCTTGATTGGATGTAAAATAATGAAAGATATGAAGAAAGTACAGCTAACACCTTACACTTTTTTTTAACTATAATAGAATAAAACAGGAGGATATGTGGCAGAAAGAGGGAGGAAAAACCCTATGGCTTTATGCCTGAAAGCTTATTCTGTTAGCAAGTTTCACAAACATTGTAATTGCAAAGAGTCTAAAAGAAAGGACTTGTATATAGTTAATGAAACCATTCACAGCTAATAACAGAAAAAAAATTCAGAAGTGATATAACGCCTCTTCTTCATGACTTTCTTGCACATAGTACAAATCTTAGTTCTCTAAATATTAACTGTTTAACCCTTGGTGAAGGCTTAAAACAAAAGGAAAAAATTAGAAGGTAGGTGTATTTGCAAGTCACAATTGAATTCAATTTTCTGTGGAGGTCTTGCTTCTGTTCTAGGCTTTCTCAACTCATAGTATGCCTTTACTGGGATAGCTCGGATGTGTGCATCAGCTACAGTGTAAGCAGATGGTTAGATATTCACTCTAGCCTAGGGAAGAAGACTGAATTTAGGTAAGACTTTGTTAATGTGAGATTAGCACGCTGATATGAACCTGTTTTTTCCTTATATGGTATGCTTTCCAGGTGGATTTTTAGCAGAAGTCAAATTTAGCACCTTAAATAGACTCCCTTTGGGAGTTCTTTTAAGCCACAGTTTAAAGCATCATGATAAATACTGGGCTCCTCTACTCCTGGGCTGAACTCAGATGAGTGGTTTATATTAGATGTCTTGCAGTCAGTTGTCTCTGACTAATAGTATTTGGTTTAAGAGTTCACTATTGTTTGGTGTGTAAGATTTCATATTTTTAAACAAGCAAATTGGTTCTGTAATGTGGGATTCTATTTATAATAGTATGTATTGGAATTCTTAAGCCTTGTTCTTATATTACGCATTATGTTGATAAACACCTATTTAAATGTACTGACTTCAGTTTGTAAACTGTAATTGGGATTTATGAATACATGTTTATTCTTTAAATTCAGAGTCTGATATATCTTGTAAATATTTTTCTTACAGAACTGTTTACTTCTTTTCCATTACATGATGCTATATCGAAGTTTTCACGGCTTTTTTTTTTATGCTTTTTTTTTTTTTCATTTCAGGTTTGCATCTGCAGGAGATGATGGAATCATATTTCTGTGGAATGCTCAGGTTAGCTCTTTTTTTGGGGGGTAGCTTGTGTGCCCTGGAGAGGGTAGAAGTTGGGGAGAGGACTTAGAAATGTCTAGTAGTAAAAAAGCAGAATAAGAATTGCTGCAGAGCTACTCTTTGAAAAAGTAAAAGTGGAGAGAGTCAGTCAAATCTTAGTTTACAAAGGAGAGCTAGGAAAGTAAAAGTTGTGTGAACCCAAAAGAACGGTAAGTTTTAAAAGTTAGAATGTTTTGGGAAGACAGTGATTTTAGAGAGATTTGAGATGAAATGATGATGTGAAAAGCAGAAGTGTGTATGAACTTGTGGTTTAATTCTTTTAAAATATGTTGATGTTTGCTCTAAACACTGAAATGTTGACTATAACTCAGCAAATACTTAGCAAGCTCCCAATTGTGCCAAGATTTATATATATACTTAAGTTTTAAGTACATTTCAGTGGCTCTATTAGCAATATCTTTGTAGTACAACTGATTAGACTAAATGGAGAGCTAACACAAAACTATTGGAAAGACATCAAAGTCAGCAGAAGTTAAACATTTCATGCAGTACAGAAACAAGGCCTTAATTGCTTGCTGTGATAAAAATCTTCTTACAACTTTTGAAAACGTTACTAAGACATTAGATTTATCATAGAAATAGTGCTCTGTAAGTGTGATACCCACTGTTCTGCTCTGCTGCTCTGTGTCTCCGTATCATTGACAAAGAGAAGGGATGAGCATTAGACCTGTGTTAAGGAGGGCTAGTATACAAGTTAGGTTGTTCACTAAGAAGCCTAAAAGGGAGACATACTGTGCTATCTAAACTGTGAGTATCAAACATTCAAATTAAGGAAGAAAGGAATCTCAGACTGTAAACTTTTTTAGAAACCTTCTGAAAAATTTATGTGACATTTATGATGGTGTAATTTTAACATAAAGAAGGGGGAACTTGAAACTTTCGCTCTCTTTTGAGCAGTTTCAGTTAGTGCCTTGCTGTTATTGAAGGCCTTTTATAATTCTGTAATTTGGAAAAGGAAATTGTTTTTGAATATTCAAAACCATGTATGTGAGTATATATACTCAGTGTTCTGAGCAGTTTGTGAATGTAAAACTCATTCGGATATACAGCTTAGGAATTGAGTTCCGTTTTCTACTTCTGTAGGGTTTTTATTGTATTTTTGTTAAAGCAAATATTTTGTAGTTTTAATTTAAAAACTTAACCCACAAGGGTAAAGAAGTTTACAGTTATAACTACCCTGTATTTTAATTGCATGCTTAAAATACCAGGATGCTTCTGCATGTTTGTTTGTAGGGTTTTGCCATCTACCTAAACAGAGCAGAAGTAGCTGCAGTTATCTAAACCACCAGCAGGAAGCTATAGATAATGTACGTACTAAATAAAGCTCTCAGGAAACTGGCAGTACTGTTTTGCCATAAATATAGGTCAAGTTTTTCTAATCATTAAAATAAAAAAAAATACTTTTTCAAGAGAGGGTTTGTCAACAAATCTGAATTACTGTAGTGTCCGTTAAAAAGGGTGAATGGCCAATATTTGCATCAAAATGAAATGAGTTTAATACAGAACTTAGTTCTTAAGGGCTTTTAGAGGTTTTTTTTACTCTTAGAGTAATTTTTATTATGTACTACTCCTTTACACTTATACTTAATATGTTACTTAATTCTGGGTAAGATCTTGAACAGTATTGAAGGTAGTAAGAAGTAAATCCATAAATTACTTTAGAAAGGGAGATTTTTAGCCTCTTAGAAATTCTTGCTTTCAAAAGTCATTTGGTACCTATGTCTTATGCTACAGTAGGCATTTTCCAAATTTTACCCTTAGTTTTACATGTTTTTATTTTTCAGACTGGAGAAAAACTTTTTGAACTTCACGGACACACACACAAAATTACAGCTATAGCACCATTTTCTTCAACTGATGTTTCTGAAGAAAAAACCCATTTGATTTTAACAGCATCAGCTGATAGAACAGTTATTGTATCCTTAGATCTGTATTCAAATGTCAATGGGCTTTTTGTTGGTTTTTACTTTTAAAGGTAACATTGAGACAGGCTGCAGGTTGTTTAAATTTATTGGCTGATAATATCCAGCAGGTATAATTGGATCACACTAGGATTTTACTAGTTATTGCTCACAAGTAGATGCAATCCTTGTTACAAAAATGAATCCATAATGGACTTTTATTAATATGTCATTTAGCCAAATATTGAAACGGTAATCAGGGTTCAGAAGACTGAGTCTCTGCATACCTATTTCCCAATCTGTGATTTAGTTACAAACACAGCAATTGTATTTCTAACATATAAAAACCTTTCAGCTTCCTTAATGAATAAAGTCAGGTTTGGGACTGCACTAGCGGCAGACAGCTTCAGAAAGTGTCATGTTTCCATTCTACTGTAAAGGTAAGCTGAGGAAACCCTAGGTATGTCTATTGTTTTGTTTTATACAAGAATCTATTATGTATGGCTCATGGGCCATATGGGCAGGTGTGTTAAAATGAACAGCAGTGTTTGGTTTAAGAAGAGGTACATAATAATGAGTGGCTGAGAAGTGGGCACATTTCTTAGTTTGTTTTTGGAACTCTTAATACCTCAATTTTCTTTTTGAAAGGATGTAGAACAAAGGTCATTTTATGGCTTGGTTTTGTTACTGTGTTGGAAAAGGCAACCTACAGTCAAACTAGTTCTTGAATGTTAATAGTAAGAAAAAAATCACTGAAAAATCAAGTTTTGCATTGTTAATTGAAAATGTAATATACAGTATGTAATTATTTCTTAGGACAGTGACACCTTAATGCTGTATTTCATAGTACTTACAGCTTTATCTAGCTAAAGCTCATGATCATTTCACTGAGAAATTCCCTGTAGAACTTTTGCAGGGGACATATATCTGATTTTTGTTCTGCAGTGTTTGACAGTTCTTCAAAGACTGGATGTATGGTTGTCTGGAGGGAGTGATCTATGTGTTTGGAACCGAAAATTAGATCTCTTGTGTAAGACCAGTCATCTTACTGATGCAGGTAAAAATGTAAATGACTCGTTATAGCTGTTAAAGTGCAAGTAAAATGGATCTGTATAATGATGCAAAACCAACTTGGCAAATTCTCTTTAATTCTAATGATAACATTATGTATTAGAGCCACTCTCTATTTTTTTAAATGTCAGACTTAATCGTTTCAGAATTAAGACTGCTTTTACTCTCCTGTGCTGTGTGAATTTTAGAATATGTCAAATCTCAGTAACTGTACATTAGCTTGGATTTACAGGGCTAGACCTCAGATGCTGGTTTATCCATGTTTGCTGTAATGTGGACCAGATCCTTTGGCTGGTTTTCTCTGTGAACAAGTGGCAGTTTCATTATTCCTAACTAAAGCTTTGTAGTAGTACAGCAGTAAAGATTTCTTTTTATTATTAAGAAGTAGTACTTTAGATGTAGAAAATTCAGGTTTTGATGGAAACACAGTAAATGTAATCAGATCTCAATTTCAATCATGCTTTTCTATTAATAACCTTATATATTATCTCTCCATGTGAAGAAAATTATTGTATATTATTGCCATACTTTACAAAGATACCTATGAAGCTGTGAATCAAATTCAAAGTTGGAACCAATATTTTCCTTATTCTTGTCATAGAATGGAGTAGTGATAGGCAAAACCTTCCGAATCTTTGAGGATATTAATACTTCTTTTGGTTCAATACAAAATATCATGCCAAATACCAGTTGGAAGTGGTGCTGTAGTGCTTAGCGTGAGGTGCTATTGAAACTTTTGTACAAGGGATCAATGGGATGTGCAGCACAGGCCCTCTCTTCCCTCCCAATCTCTTGCTTCCTTTGTGGGGAAACAGACCGATTGCTTATTCTTTGGGGAATTTTCCTTTAATGGTGTGGTAGCACAGACTGGGGGAGCTCTGTGCAGGATGAAGGCAGAGTAACAGCGAGCTGGACATTCTATCTTGTGCCCTATTCTTCTTCAGCTGCCTCTGTACAATGTTAGTATCATGCATACTGTGGTAGTATCAATAACTAATAACTTTGGTACTGCATATGTTTAGAGTCTCAGTAATTACCACAGCATCCTTAATATTGTCCAGCATTAGGACATAAACATCTCAACTGTATTTAAAATAAAACGATTATTGATTCTTAGCTTCACCTCAAGTTTGACGTTCAGAATTCTGCTGGATTCAGGACCAAAACTCCTGACTCTACCTCCATCTGAGGTAATTGGTTCACTTCCAATGCCATTTAACGTTCACTTCAGGCAATATGCTTTTATTCTGATAATAGTTTATAAGTGGAAGGAAGATTATGAAGAACTTTATTAATAAGGAATTAATAGTTTGCTGTGTTTTATTGTGGCTAATGAATATCCTTTTTTCCCTTATCCCCTGTATTTCTTCAAAGGTATCAGTGCTTTGCTTGAATTGCCTAAAAATTGTGTTGCGGCAGCTGTTGGCAAAGAGCTAAGTGAGTATGTTGCATTTCTGTTAAATGTTCATGTTCCTCTATAACAGCTGCTTATCAGAGATATGTGTAAAGAGCATGCTGCTGGAATTGTATAGGAAAAGTAAATGGTATTAGGGTGTGATTAGCAACCTTCTTCCTTTTCCCCTTATTTGACAGAGAGGCAGACCATACTAATCTCATTCAGGAGTTTTGTTAAGAACTGCGTGACAAAACTTTCCTATATTCTTTGTTATTGTTATTACTGTTACTGACACCTGTCCAGATCTGGTTGTGGTGATCTACATTTGGCCTTCTGGAGAGTGTCTGGAAGGAGGACCCGGGGAACTACAGGCCTGTCAGCCTGACCTCAGTGCCAGGAAAGATTATGTAGAGGTTCATATTGAGTGAACTCAACAGGCAAGTGCAGGTCAACCAGGGGATCAGGCCCAGCCAGCATGGGTTCATGAAAGGCAGGTCCTGCTTGACCAACCTGATCTCCTTTTATGACTTGTTGACACGCCTGGTAGATGACGGAAAAGCTGTGGATGTCATTTACCTGGACTTTAGCAAAGCTTTTGACACCGTCTCCCATAATATTCTCCTTGGGAAGCTGGCAGCTCATGGCTTGGATGGGCGTAGTCTTCACTGGGTAAAAAACTGGTTGGGTGGCTGAGCCCAGAGAGTTGTGGTAAATGGAGTTAAGTCCAGTTGGCGGCCGGTCACGAACGGTGTTCCCCAGGGCTCTGTTTTGGGGCCAGCCTTGTTTAATATCTTTATTGATGATCTGGATGAGGGGATTGAGTGCACCCTCAGTAAGTTTGCAGTTGACACCAAGTTGAGTGGGAGTGTCGATCTGCTGGAGGGTAGGATGGCCCTGCAGAGGGACCTGGACAGGCTGAAAATTGCTGAAATTTCAAAATATGGAAGAAAATCTAGGAGAAAGCACTGAATCAGCAAAACAACAGACTTTGCTCAATATGATTAAACACTTAGCTGAAAAATTGCAATCTGGTATTCTGATCAAAGAATCATGAGCAAATTAGAAATAGTCTTCTTGTGTTAAGGCATTGGTATACAATGTAAATTTCCATCTGGACTTCCCACAGTTCTTCTGTAGTGCCCTTGAGATATCATAAAATAAATTCCAGGACAGGTTAAAATAAAGTCTTAATTCCTGGCGATCTTGATTGCCTTACTAGAAATATTGCATCTGTTTGAATAATAGTTTTCAGATGAGCCCTTAAGAAAGATGTTTCGCTTTTAGTTTACTTATCCATAAAGATGTCTAATACTTTTCGCTTCTGCTTCCTGCAACTTCTGATGTTGACTGATTCTCCGAATTTCAGAGTTAGTAGGCTGAAATGTTTTACCCTATGGTTGCTGTAGGAAGAGGCCTTAATAATAACACTGAAATAATTTATTCCCAATTTTTTGATGTTATGAGCAGTCAGTCATAAGTGGCTTTGCACATCTTGTACTGTCTCACTTATAATGTGTTTTAATTTGTGTCTTTCTGAAAATGATGTGTTTTATTTAAGCATAGCTACATTTTATCCTGAATGATAACACTTATTTAGACAATATCTCTCTCTATCTTCTAGTAATTTTTAGGTTGATTGCTTCTAATGATGAGTCTGAAGGTTGGAATGTCCTTGAAGTAAAACGCCTTGTTGACCATCAGGATAACATTTTGTCATTAGTCAGTGTCAATGGTAAGAGTTGTTTTACAATGTTACTGGTTTTGTTAGCTACCAAGGGATATTTCAACTATGGAGTTTTTATTGGGACCAAACTTTTAACTGGAGTGAAACTTCGTAACTAGCGGATGTACCTTCCTGTGTAGCTGCAAAGGTAGTGAAATGTGAAAATATAGTGGCTTTATTTATGGATTAAGGGTGAAATAAAACCAGGCAGGTTACAATGCAGAAAAGGCACAAAAGAGGCAATGTCATTGATGGGAATGGAACTCTGGGTCTTCTTCATGTTGAGAAGGTTTAAAATGCTATTTTTTCTTGTTCCTTCTGATTCTTAAAATGGAATATACAATGCCACATCCGTTGCAGTTGTAGTCCCAAGGTAACTGAAAGTTCTGTGTGTGTGGATGTGAGCCTGCATATAGATCCATTATTTAGAGGCTCTGGAAGATAATGCAGTCTCTGCTGCTCATTAGGGCAATACTGAGCTATTACCTGAAATTCTGTCTACTGTACTACAGGTATCAACCCCTTCTACTTTGTTCTTCCCTGTCTTTTTTTATGGAGCACCCCCAGAGGCTGGGACAAGTTACTCCTGGTGTGAGAGAGAGTGTGTATTTGTCCTTGGGCTTATTTTTGTCAGCTTGGTTGGCACAAAGGGGCTATGGTACAGAGGTAACAAGAAGCTGGAAAGAAGAAAACTTGGATTCTATGGTACTTGTTTCTGGGGTTTCCTGTTGCCATTATTTTCTCCTTTTTGTTTATTTTCTTCCTTTTGGAAGTTCAGAAGTTCTCCTTTTTGATTATGAAGGGGAAGCAATATTGGGCTTAAAAAGACAATATGCTACCTGCATTAAGTATTGTTGAAGCAGTTCCTTTCCATGTGTGATTTAACAAATTAATGGACACCTACTTCAATCTTGCCATTAACTCATCCATTTAATTTGTGATCAGTATTTCTGTTTATGGCAAAGACATATTTTGCTGTGTCTGAGGGGTGCTGATACACCTGCTTGCCCAAGGAATAGAAGGGTTTTGTATGTAGGCAACAAATGAACTTCAAATACATGTACATACTTCTGGTGGTGTTCCTTGCCTTTGCTATACTGTATTGTGCACCGCGGCCAGTGAATGTTCTCCTTCCTAGTTTTCATTTGGCAAGAGAGAGCTCATCTCCTTTTGCTCATTTGAGATATGCTAGGTAATTAAATGAGTATTTACTCAAAGGGAGGGGTTTTTGTCTAGTCAGGTGGTGCACATTCTACATAGCCTAACTTGAAAATGGTCTCAACTTTCTAGGGTTGTAACTTTGTGTGAAATGGATTTATTTATATAATGTGATTTCTGTGTGTGGTGTTTTTTTTTCTTTTTTCTCCCCTCTAGACTTGACTTTTGTGACAGGTTCTCACGTGGGTGAGTTAATAGTTTGGGATGCACTTGACTGGACAAAGCAGGCATCTGAGTGCAACTTCTGGGACTCCTCTGTCCATCCAGATGTACAGCCAGAAATAAAGTTATCCCAAAGCCCAAATGAAACTTCAGTTCAACACTTAACATCTGATGAGGAGGTAAAAAGCTTTAAACAGAGTAAACTACTTTAAGTGAGCTAGCATGACCCTATCACAGAAGGCCAAGTGTTTTGTGTTTTCAGTTTGCTTCTTTTAATGACAGGTTTCTTTAAAATGTGCACAGCTATTTTTATACAGTCATAGAATCATAGAATTGTTTAGGTTGGAAAAGACCTTTAAGATCATCCAGTCCAACCATTAACCTAACATTACCAAGTCCACCACTAAACCAATTAAGGGTAGAGTACCAACCCCATGGCTCCTGGCTTGGTGGCTGGATCATTTATAATGAAAGTAAGTCAACAGTTTTTATATAGAATTTTCGTCATTGAGCTAACTGAAGGTTATAGTATGTTGATGGTATGGGAACTAACATAATGCCTGTCACAACAGCATTTCTATTCGACTGACAAAGATGTATTAGTTGTTTACATTACCACTAGAGAAAAATAAACAGGAGGTATGTGTTTTGATGGCATACATCTTTTCATATTCCATGGTTCTGGAAATGTAGTTTCCATGGTTCTGGAAAGATCGTTTCCATGATAATGCGCCTCTTGAACAGTTATAGCTGAGGGTACTATGAAGTGAATTAAAGAATAGGCATATGTCTATTCTTAGTAGTAAATAAATATTGCTGCTTCTGTTCAGATGGGCTACACTCAGTTGTAAAGAGCACAAATACGGGTCCAGAATCCAGTCTACAGTAATCATGCTTTGGAGATAGTCCAAGAATTCTTGGTCAGAATACTCAGGCAGAACTCAGCCATTGTTCAGGAAACACTAAAAATCCTCAGGTTGTTGTTTACTTCTGTGGAATGTTACCAACTGTTAGTGGCAAAAGATGTTTCATAGTTGGGGTACAGTGGGATTCTGTTTTGGGGCCTGTAGGTCCATTACTGGGGAATGATTAAGAAAGGGATACCAGGAAATGGGTTCAGAGAGATGAGCTATAACAAAATAAAAGCTGTGGAAAAGTCTGAATGTAGGCTGAGGGCCAAGTAGTCACCTGACACATTTGTCTGTGAAAGGAGCATTCCTAAAACACTGGAGAGAAAAACATTCCGGGGTGTGGGTGTGGGGAGAAAGAGATGTAGTTGTCTCTAAAGGTAGGATTTCCAGTGGTTTTTTTTGTGGGTGCTTAGTTCTAGAAGGAGTAAAAAGCCAGTCCTGTTCAAGAGAAATTCTGTAATTTGGCTTCAAAACATTTTGATTCCCTGCTTGAAAGCTACACAAGATGTGTTATAAGGGAGGGGAAAATAATTTTGGGAAGTTCAGAAGCAGTTAAAACGTTAAATGTAGATTGTGAGGCTGCTGAGGACTTTCTTCCATCATGGAACAGAACTAAACAAGTTGCTGCAGAATTTTATTTATTGTGAGACTTTTGAATGGTAGGAAGAAGAGGTGGGTCTAGTGTTACGTCCTGAAATAGAAGGTGGTTTTAGGGCGGAGCTGTCTCTATTGTAAAGTTCCTACATAAAAAGTGGTGAAGAAATGTATTCCTATAATGAGTTACTTTGTTACCTGCTGTCTAAAAGCAGAACACTGTTCTTCATGTTAAAAAACAAAACAAAACAAACCTGGTGTTTTCTCTGTTAGGGAATTTGTCAGCAGGCTTGGTAGTTAGGTAGTTGGAGAAGATGCACTTGGCTAGTTTGGCACTGAGCTTGTAGGCAAAACATCATTCAGAAACAAATGGGGTGGTAAAGGTTTGGCAATACTAGGAAACAGTACTCAGGAGTGCATCTGCTGTCCTGATACACGTGTGTGTGTGTTTTTAACTTGCCTGTTAAGATAGGTGTACAATTTATGCTTCGTCATCAGTTATTTTCTTGGGGTTTGAGATGACCGGGGTTTTGCTGGGGCTTGTATAAATAAAAGAGTGACTGTGAAGAGCATCTTTTGCAAAGCTGTAAGACTATATGACATTCAAGAGCCTGTCTCAAAGTGGAAGACTGTAAAGGAGAAAAGACTGAGATACAGGAGTGGAAGGGTGACATGGAATGCCATTGAATTGAGCCTTATGCAAAACTAGGAAAATAATAAAAATGGGCTCAGTGTTTTTTCCTTGATTTGGTAGAGTGCTATCAGAAATTTGAGCTTAGTTTCAGAGCTATTGGAGTTTCCACCACAGATGTGCATAAGGGGGAAAAAAAAAAACAACCCAACAAAACCAGAACCAAACCAGAACCCAACAAAAACCTGGACAAGGAGTTTTGAACAGTGTCAAAACACAGTTGAATATATATAGGAAATCTTATTTAAAGACACTGGGTTACCAGTTTTACAAATTTTGACAAGTGTGTAGTGTAAACTGCTTAGAGACATTAATGCTTGGGCTGTGTAGATGGAAGCAGGCCATTCAGGGAAAAGATCCAGCATACCATCACCTAAACAAGTTATGTTCAAACCCCAAATATTTACTGAATAGAAGCATTTTGCACTCCTCTGTTTGGTACCAAATATTTGTTGTGTGTACGTACACAAGATTGTATGCTTGTCCTCTCTAAAATCATTACAAGTCATGAGAGGGTCCTGGTCCAATGATCTTGAAACTGTTTGTGGCTGCTTCTTGTGGTGGTATGAGGTAGAATCCCTGCACTTTTCTGAGAGCAGCATTGGATGCTAAATGGTTCCGGATCTTTGCGGTATTGTGTAATACCTTTCTGTGAGAGAGTTCCTTTTCTACACTCAGTACAGCCCCAATGCTTGAGCAAGACCTCTTTGTGCAGCTTCAGTTAAATTTAAAAAAAAGTGGCAAAAATGCAGAACAGCTTCCTGCATTCTCAGTCTTTCTTGATAAAACAAGAGTTTGTCAAGACACAGAGCATTATTTTAGTGTAAGAACATAAATGTTTATTTGCAGAAATGTGTTGGTTTGTTGGTAACCTTGGTTTCCGCTTAGACTGTAAGGTACAGAATTAAAATACAGAAATGAAACAACTGCTTAGAGTATAGGAGGATATCCCTTATTTCCTCAAAAAAATTCGTATTTTTGCTATAACTTGCTCATTCCATATGTTTGGGATAAAGCAGTAACATGAGGACAGAAACAAGCTGGATAATGCGGGCTAGATGACGTCATGGTACTGCTGGAAATCCATTACATGCAGGGTGATCTTTCAGTATCTGTTTCTGTAAGTTGTTCCATTGAATTTTCTTTCCAGTGTGTGTTTGCTGCTGTTGGGAAAGGCATATACGTATATAATCTTCAAATGAAGCGTGTGATTGCCTGCCAGAGGGCTGCTCACGACTCCTCGGTACTGCACATTGAGAAGCTTCCAAACAGGTACGAGTCACGGTACACTTTGTTAATGCAGTAAAGAAATGCAGAACTTGGAAGGGTGGTTAGAGACAGTCTGCAAAGCTACATCTAATTTCTAGGGTAGGGACTTGATCTTTAGTTTGATCTGCTTTTATTAGATAGAGCTTGTTGATCTGATTTTTTGAAAATGCATCATTGTAATTCAATGTGCAAAAAACTGTAATCCAGTACGCTTGATGCACAGGCTCAGAGTAAAATATCTTGGCTATTTTCAAAATCAGACTTGATAAAGCACTTTTGTCTACATTGTGAAAATACAGCTTAATGGCATTTTACTTCTACAATGCAAAGGTCTATGGCATATTCAGTAAATATTTTTCACTAAATATTTTGTAACAGTTGAAATGTTTTAACAAAAAATAGTAAATTCCAGCCTTTGTTCATTAGTGCTGAATTTCGAGCTCAAACTTATTTTGACAGCCAAGTTGGACAATTTGCTACATATATATAATCTAATAGTTGCGTTGTTAAATCTCTTTATACTCATGTTCAATGGAGGAAAAGTCTGTCAGAAAATAAAAATTAGGTCCTTGATCTTGTAAATATATGTGCTTTTCTAAACTGTTCTAAACATGCAATGAAAAGGAGTATCTTTCCTGTTGTTATTTTTCCATAAGAATAAAATATGGTTTTTTTTATGAAAGTAGGTTTACAGAAGTGTCCTGGTTTTGGCTGGGATAGAGTTAATTTTCTTCCTAGTAGCAGGCATAGTGCTGTGTTTTGGATTTAGTATGAGAAGAATGTTGATAACACACTGATGTTTTTAGTTGTTGCTGTGTACTGCTTATGCTAGTCAAGGACTTTTCAGCTTCCCATGCTCTGCCAGGTACACAAGAAACTGGGAGGGGGCACAGCCAGAATAGTTGATCCAAACTGGCCAAAGAGAGATTCCATACCATACGACGTCATGCTCAGTATATAAACTGGGGGGGGTTGGCCGGGGAGCAGCGATCGCTGCTCGGGAGCTGTCTGGGTATCAGTCAGCGGGTGGTGAGCAATTGCATTGTGCATCACTTGCTTCGTGTATCATTATTATTATTATCATTATTATACTGTTATTATTAGCATTACTATTTTACTTTATTTCAATTATTAAACTGTTCTTATCTCAACCCAGGAGTGTTTCTCACTCTTACTCCTCCGATTCTCTCCCCCATCCCATCAGGGTAGGGGGAGTGAGCGAGCGGCTGCGTGGTGATGAGTTGCTGGCTGGGGCTAAACCACGACAGGAAGCCAGTTAGTGGAACAGTGTTTGCAGTGTCTAGACTTGTTATTTTTTGTTTTGCAGAGTGGTATGCTTTTAAAATGGGATTGAAAATACGTATTTTTTCCACCTGTTTTGAAAGTCCGTTATAGTTTGTCCTGCTACAGTTGCACCTTATTTTGTATAGAACATCTGTATGTCCTGCTACATTTGAGGGTTCTAACAAACCTGTGTAGAACCTGAGGCACTTACTGTCTCTTTTATAGAAGCATCACAACGTGACTTGTGCAGATAAGTATCCATGCTAGTGCTGCTTATCAACTGTTTTTACAGGCAGCTGATCTCCTGTTCAGAAGATGGCAGTGTGCGCATTTGGGAACTCCGAGAAAAGCAGCAGCTGCCAGCTGAACCAGTTCCAACAGGTTTGCTAGTAGTGGGGGGTGAAAAGAACTTTAAAAAGGATAAGGGGAAACCCAGTATTCACCTTACTGGAATAGAGAGGCTTACAGGCTTTGTAAGAAGAGATGTGTTATGTTCAACCAACTGGTAACAGGTGTGGGAGGGAAACTGAGGAAGACATGGTTGTACAAGCCCTCCAAGATCTGATATGGGAAGTTAGAAGGTCCAGCTGAAGCAGTTCTGTGCCATAAAGCTTATTTAGAGTTTACAGTTATATCAGCTGGTTTAACAAAAATTATGACCTCTCCTGACAAACCTTGATCCAATTCTCCTTGTACTGAATAGTACTGGATCCTGTACCATGCAAGACTAAATAGTTGCAAGACCCTGTGAAGAAAGCTTAAGAGAAGCTTGTGGATGAGCAGCTGGCACAAAAAAGTGTGTTTTCCACGTCTCCTCCTTGAACTTGGAATGATGAGATTTGGACTCACTTTGAGGCTGTATCCAGCCTCACTTACATACTACCTCTGGGCATCACAGTCCTCAGGGCTAGTTGCTAGTGTTTTAGGAAGCTTAGTGTTTAGGGTTGATTTAGAAACACTTTTTCAGGAAAATTCTGTCTTCAGTATTGCTGGTGACAGCTGATCTACGCAGTTCTGCTTCTTATTGTGACAAGTGGTATTTGGTTTCACGTTATAATAACTTCTATCATTGGAGACATTTGAAAGAAACCATATGCAGTAATGAGATAGGTGGACTGCTGTTGATTTGCTCTATTTTTATTATAAGAAATCCCTTGAGTAGTTGTTTATCTCTCCAGTTATGTCCCTTGTACCGGGGCCATGGTCTAGCACACATCTTGTTTTTTGTGTTGAGGGGGCTGAGGGAAGGGTCAGGAAGAAAGTCTGAACTGGGTTGTGTACAGAACCCAACTTTCTTCTGTCATTATTATTACAGAGTTCTTCTGGAGGCTGTGGCACAGATGTGTGTTTTCTGGCCATCTAAATGAAATGTGGAATACTATCTTTACACTCCAGTTTAGCTAACAGTTTTAAATCTGAAGGAGAAAGCCAGCGGGCAGTATAAAAATGGGCAATGCAACATCAGAAACTGGCTTGTTACCTGTATGCCAGCACTCTAATGCTTTAGTGCAGGACACACAGGGGAGAGACTGGCACCTCATTTCTCTCCTCTTTGCACAAGTAACAGTTTAGGAGGACAGAGGAAAGGTAAACATCATTGTCCTCCGTCTACCTTTGCTGTTCAGTTAGTTCCTTTAGGCAGTCCTTGGATTTCTTGCTAAATCCATATATTGTCTCATCCAGGTGAGTAATTCAACATGTCTGCTAAATTACACCTAGTAAGGACAAAAGACAAAGTAGTTATGTTCCCTTCCCCCTGCAAGATGAATAATTCAGATGTAGAAATGCTGCGCATTACAATGCTTCTGTCATTTTTCCATGAAGACTGTCCTGCTTTTAGATCTTGAGTCACTCCTGTAGTTCTGTCTTTGGCTAGAGGAAATAGATTGTATTTGTCATTTTTGCCAAAATAAAAGATTTTCTTTTTTCCAGGGTTTTTCAGCATGTGGGGATTTGGAAGGGCAAACAAGCAGGCAAACCAAACTGCTAAGAAGATGCAGGAGAATACACCTGTGTATTTCTTGGAACTGGTTGGTGATTTGATTGGTCATTCATCAGCTGTGCAGGTAGGTCAGCTTTAGTTAGAACAAGAAAAGGTGAATTTCACTTACTAATGTAATTTTGGCAGTGTTTCTTAAACAGCTGTAACTTTTGAATGTCTGGCTCTGGTGGCTGGGAACAGATTGATTGTGTGGTATATTTAGCACAGTGTGAAAACAGCAATACATACTGACTTAAGCTTCTAATGAGAACTCAAACGCTCACTCATACCAGAGGATTGTGTGTGCAGATATATACATACATGCTACAGATAATCTGGTGGGGTATTTGGTTTCTTTGTAGACTGCAAACAGTACAGCTGGGAACTGCATGTTTGTTCCAGATTTCATCTTAATTTCACAATCTAAACAAGGGCTCATATAAAACAAAACCCAGTCGGAAATTTCTTAGCCCTCTGCTGTGAGCCTTAAGGAGGTCTTTTAATTTTAGATCAGGTACCATTCTGTGCTTCTGTCTGCCTAATACAGTATGTTTTTGTTTTAAATGGCATTTTCTCTCCACACCTTTTTGTGCTTGACAAACCTATTGGAGTAACAAATCACTTTCTTACAGTGGGCTTTTATACACATTCTTGGCAGGAGCAGGGGGAAGGGCAGGTAGAGAGGAGCGGTGTGGTTCTGGAGTAGTTTTGCTTACAAGTATTCATAAGACTGGCTGGATTGCAGAACTGCAGTAGCCAAAAGCTGGGAGCTTTTCACTAATAGCTAAGGTGAACCTTTTTGCTACAGGGGTTTCTGCAAGGCTTTCTGCACCTCTCTACCATCTTTCTTTCTGAAAAACTGTTGAAAGAGGCCCTATTAGCAGTATGGAAAGTTGCTGTCTAAGAAAGAGGACATAGTGTGTAATTCAGCAAGAGGCACAGCAAAGGAGGTGAGAGGCCCATGTTTGGTCTTTGTTGGGATGCTGCAGAGCCAAGCAGTAACTGAGATGATGGTGGATGTGATTTCCTGCAATATTCTACATGTGGAAAATTCAATTTTTAAACTGGACAGACTGGGGCTGGAAATGTTGAGTGGTGATGAAACGCGATGGCCAAAGATGTGGGCTTGGCCAGAGTGTTTCTACTGGAACCACAGTGGAAGTGGAAGTGGCTGTTCCCAGAGCAGGTAGGCTGTAGTACAGTCCTTGGCCTGAATGCTTCCCCTGGACAGACCCCTTCAACAAGCTGAAAAGTCAGGACACTGCAAGCGTGCCATAGTAGCATTGCGTGACCTGGTTCCATTGGCTGTTGTGTTGAAATGCAATTAGTGGCTAATTATAGGTGGCCTCTTGGAGGTCTCTGAAGTCAGGGGTGACTACATGACTTGTCAGCTCCATTGCTCTTGCAAAATCCCTCCACTGCTGCTGTACTTCTCTCCTGTGTTGCACCTCTTGCTGGTTTGGCTTTCTCTGTGTGACCAGGCACATGCTGATGTCTGTCACAGTTGTTCACTCTTTGATCCTCCCGGGCCTGGTGATGGTAGCCTTTGGTGTTGTGTTGGAAGGGGACAGTGTACCCAAATGAACAGAACAGTGGCTTCAAGAAACCAGGAGATCAGAGTTCACACAAGTCACTCACTCTTCTACTGCTGACTTGGAACAGGTTTCTTCAATACTTTGTACCTTAGCTTCCCTATCTGTAAGACTTCACTGCTTTTTCTGAACTGAGACCTTCAATGTGAAGTGCTGTTGAAGAGTTGTTTTCATGTAGGGATTTTATGACATCTCAAACATAAAGAAAGTATACATTGTAATTTTGCATACCTATGTTCAAACAGAACCATTTCAGACACATGTATTTGTTTAGTCCAGCTGTACACTGAACATTTAAGCAAGCTGACAGTCTCATGTGAGCAACATGGTAATAGTAATTGTTTCATTGCAGATGTTCCTGTACTTCGGTGAACTGGGACTGGCTACGTGCTCTGCTGACCACCTCATTATTTTGTGGAAGGATGGTGAACGAGAATCTAGACTCCGCAGTTTAACACTGTTTCAAAAACTGGCACAAAATGGTGATTTGCAGCTCAAATTTTAAATTGCTCTGATACAGGCTACACATGTATAAACTGGATATGTGTTAAATATGAGTGCAAAGGAAAGTCTGAGCTACTGGGAATGTGACTACCAGTAAAGTTTACACTTAATGTCATGTATTATAGTGGAATTTTTATTAGTTGCTACTACTTTTCTCAAAGGAGAATTTTGTATGTTGAAACTTGGCTTATTGTGTCAACAGAAATGGTGTTCTCTTGAAAGACTGAAGATAAAAATGACTCATTAAATAGCTTCTAATATTATTCCTAATATTTGAAAATATCATGGGTGGATGTCAAAATTAAGATTTGTGAAAATCCTTAGATGGATCATAACTAAAGCAGTTGGGGGCATTCCACAGTGTTATGTGTAGAAAGGAGGCACAGAAAAAAGTCTGAGGCTTCCTGTTTTATGTAACTTATTTCTTGAAGCTAAACTTTAGTCACTGATGGCTCAGATTTGTGTATCTACAAAAAACCCCAAAAGAAACAGTTCTCAAATAGAATTTTGGCATTTGAAGTTACTGTCCTGCAACAAGGGTAAGAGCAAAAAAGAAAAGTAGGCAATACCATTTGTCATGTTTTAATTTTGGGCAAAGCACGGTATCTAGATACTCCTTGCTTGTAGTAGCTGCAGTTTACTGTGGGTTAACCTACACTACTGCAATTTATACAGCACCATTACCATGTCTAGCATGAAGTGTGATTGGTTTAGTGTAGTCTTTCCATAATGCATTCATCAAATTTATTTGTATCTAATAAAAAGCATTGTCCTTAGATGGGTTTTCAGGATGTAAAATACTCTCTTAAGCAGCAGCAGTTGATGCGTTCAATACTAGCAAAACACTTCTGCCAGATGAATACTAAATTCTCACCTGAACTTTGCAGAGAAATCTGCACCAAGTTTGTAAGGATAAATAGTATTTTAGAGTTTAAAAATAAAAAGCCTCTAAGTATCCAATGCCTTTTTCAAGTCTGAGATAGCAGCAGTAATGTGCAAGCTAAACGGGGAAAAAAAAAAGAGAAGTTGAAGCCAGAAGTGACACAAAGAAAGTGGGAGGGAGGACGAGATAATGAGTGTTAAGTTACCATTTGAACAGAGAAGAGCTAGGGAAGAGGGGAGTTTGGGAACTTAGTGGTCATAAAGCCATGTAGAAGAGGGTGCCACTGTCCTCAGATCTACTGAGAAGATCCAGCACTGAAACAGTTTAGGAGTAAGTCTCATGCAACTTTTCAGTGCCATCTCTTCCCTTTGAATCAATGAGCACTGTTTTCAGTACAGGAGACTACAGGGCTGTAATTCCAGACTTAAGATCCAGCGGCTGCAGTAAGTGTAATTAAAACAAAGGGCTAAGCAGATCCTGACAAGAGCAGAAGCAAAAGGAGGAAGCTTCAGCTTCCTAGAAGTAACCAAGGAGCCTTTTAGAGTTGCTTCCCCCAGCTCCCATGGGCACTTGCATTCCCCCTACCACCAAGAAGCCAGGCTCTGCCTCCTGAATCTGACCATAGTCTTCCCTGGAAGGAAGGGCAGAGGGCCAGTAAAATTCTGAGCTGTATTTTTTTCCCCACTTTGGTCAATTTGTGTAACTAATCTTAGAATCATAGAATGCTTTGGGTTGGAAGGGACCTTTAGAGGTCATCTAGTCCAGCCCCCCTGCAATGAGCAGGGGCACCTTCAACTAGATCAGGTTGCTCAGAGCCCCATCCAACCTGACCTTGAATGTTTTTCTGGGGATGGAGCCTCCACTACCTCTCTGGGCAACGCATTCCAGTGCTTCACCACCCTCATTGTAAAAAATTGCTTCCTTATACCCAGTCTAAATCTACCCTCCTTTAGTTTAAAACCATTACTCCTTGATCTGTCATAACAGACCTTGCTAAAATGATTGTCCTCACCTTTCCTGTAGGCCCCCTTTAAGTACTGAAAGGCCGCAATAAGGTCTCCCCGCAGCCTTCTCTTCTCCAGGCTGAACAACCCCAACTCTCTCAGCCTGTCCTTGTAGGAGAGGTGCTCCAGCCCTCAGATCATTTTTGTGGCCCTCCTCTGGACCCGCTCCAACAGTTCCATGTCCTTCTTGTGTTGAGGGACCCAGAGCTGGATGCAGTACTCCAGGTGAGGTTTCACCAGAGTAGAGGGGCAGCATCACCTCCCTCGACCTGCTGGCCACGCTTCTTTTGATGCAGCCCAGGATACGGTTGGCTTTCTGGGCTGCGAGTGCACATTGCCAGCTCATGTCCAGCTTTTCATCCACCAGCACCCCCAAGTCCTTCTCCGCAGGGCTGCTCTCAGTCCCTTCATCCCATAATCTTATTTGAGTGTAGAGCTCAAAATGACATATTTCAAAAACACAAAACAGATGGAGAAATTGTTAAATTATCCTCCTTTCAATTCAAGAAGGTTAAATCAGTGTTAAATCTTGAGTTGCATGTTCTTTGCTCAGGGTGGCTATTCTATAGAGCAGCATAGGAAGGGCGCTTGGATTACAGCTGACGATAACATGCCTTTGGGTATATGGTATTAAACTTGGGGGAGAAAGGCATGTTAAGCCTTTCTGCCTGTCAGTCTGCATTGTTTCAGCTTGTCTTCATCAGCAAGTGTTGCATTTTTTGGCTACCACAGTACAAGCTGGGGAGATCAGTTTCTCTTTGGCTGTTTTTCCCTTGTTTCAATTGAGAAGTAACTGTGTAGTTGTATATAAGGTGTGTGTTTACACATTGTTAGTAAAACTTTACAGCAGAAGCTTTTAAAACTTAGGGTTTTTTGAGAGGCTACGGCTATCATCAGCTGTAACTAGAGAGAAGGAACATCATCTTTTTATTATCTCTTCTTCCTGTGCCATGAGAACAGCTATTTAATTTTTATGTGACTGCTTTTAAGTGAATACCTGGTAGAGAAACAGACCTATTTAACTGAACAGTTCTAGTCACAAAACTCACTGTCCATTTTACAGGGATGTAATTCAGCCTTAAATAGTCCTACATGCATGTATAAATATTTACATCTATCAAAAGTGCCGTTGTTCTCAGATACACTCCATTGGTAATAGATCTCCCAAGGGTCTCTTTCTTTAAAGACAGTTGAGTTGAAAGTATTAAATTGAGTTCTTTGTTTTACAAATGAACTTTGAGCATAACAGTGAACACAGTAAGGCTATAGTAGCCCTCTCCTGTCAAATAGGAGTTTGCCACTTGCTGTTGGGAAGTGCAGTGAGCAGAATTAGGATGACCAGATTAGAAATTTTCCTTCCACCTTGTGTCCTTTTAAATTTCTTTTTCCACCTCATAGTAACACAGAATTCCATTTGTTCACATCATGATGTTCACATCACCTACCCTTAGCACTTGTACAGCTCTGAGTCAGCTGTCTTGCATATCTGTGCACTGACAAAAGCATGAAACAAGCCGCCGTTAGTCAGCTGGACAGGTTAGAGTCTAGGAAATCTGACACAACTGGCAGATGATGATTAATCTATGCTGATTTCTTTTGCTCTTAAAAAGGACATATCTCCACACAAATTACTTCTTTGCTTCATCTCTGGCTGTGGGAAGAAACACAGGATCTTGCAACAAATGTACTGATTCCACATTAACACCTTAACTTGTGAACCAGAACTGAGGCTGAACTTTATTTCTTAGGTTCCTTCCACCATTCACATTTTCTTCCTTGTGACAGAAGTGTGACAAAAATAATGAATTGAAATGCTTTACATGAATGTGGTCTTACAGTGTTGCTGTATTCAACAAATTAAATTAAGCTGACAAAGCTTTGAATCTTGTGAAATTCTTTTCTCTAATGCAAGCTGCAGTGAGCGTTCAGTCATCAGAATAGTTAAGATACAATCACCGAGAGCACTAGTTCTGAATAAAGGAATGGTAGAAGCAAACAGTTTACAGTATACAAACCAGAGGTTCAACTTATCTGAATAAAAATCCATTGAAGAATGTTGCAATAGATAATAAGAAAGAATGAATAAACATACTTCACCAGAAATACCAGTCTTCAAATATACACAATGCAGCATTTTAATACACAGCAACCTGCCTTAGCTATGGCAAAAGTAAGGTTCTATTACAATTCTAACAAAAATATAGCTTATATACATTCTCTGCACATAACATTTTATGAATGTTTCCTTTTGTTTTAGAACTTGGTACAAAACATACAAAAAAGGTTGGCACATTATGTAAGCTATCTCCAGTAAGCTACCTCCAGTAACAACAATCATTGTCTTTTCTTCCGCAGCAATCTAAACTCTGCTGGTTCACCCCTGCCGCCTTTACCGAGTTCAATTCTTGATACAGTGTAGGCAGGGTAAAGAGAGTGTCTCGAGACCTTTCCTGTTAATGAGTAGTGGACTGCTTCTTCAATTGCAGCCACAGCTTTGACGCTCTTGCCTGCAGTCTGGAGTGCACAGTGTTAAAAATCAGCAGTTCTGCTAGTATTTATTAACTGAATAGTCTGAGAATAGTCTAAAATTTGAACTCATGTTCTGCACGTGATTAAAATGAGATGTACAAAAATATGCATTTGTGCTTTGGAAGCTTTAGCATAAATTCAATACCTAAAAACTAATGAAAAACTATGTTTGATTTCTAACTTATTTACATCTTTTGAAATACTTTTTATATCACAAAACAAACGAGCATTTTATTAGGAGTGAAAAAGCAGTACAAATTACAATGCTGTTATAAATTATAACTGGAAACCTTTTCTTTAAAAAGCAATAGGTTCATCCTAGAAGTAAGTAGCACAATATATGGACTTATCATAAAATTTAGATCAGTTTAATAAAATTGATGACCATGTGTACAAACACCACTTTATAAAAAAGGATGTTGATCAAGTGCCGCAATGTTTTTTGTGTAAAATTTGACAAAATATTGCACGGTAACATCTTGTAAGATGGCAGAGAAATATGTGGATGGCACCAATTATACAGAACATGCTTATTTTCCTCCATTATATGACCAATTTTAAGGGAATTTAACTCCTACCGAGATTTTATATGGAAAAGAAAGAAGAGAGAACAGGTGGTCTCTGAGAGAGAGTCTCTGTAATAATAAGAAGGTTGATTTAAATGGTGCAGAGTTTGGTTTTTACTGTAGCCAATTTATCGACATTCACTTGCTCTACTGTGCATCTTCTCTTTAGAACTATGGTTCAGAGAGCTGAAGAACACCAATAGAATTGGAGAAAACTTATGCTAGATAAGTGGGAAGTTTTTATGCTTACTTGTCAGCCTATTCTTACTCTACTGGTGACTAGATTACCCCTCTGAGAAACAGTTGTGTGAAGTGTTAGTGAATACAGCTGTATCAATTACAGGATTTGACAAACGCATATTCAGTATTAGAAATTAGTTTCAGAAGTACATTTTCTGCCACAAAATGTTAGTTCCAAAGAGCACTTACTCATCTGGGGATTATGTAGCCTTTTTGAAAACATTTTCCTGTAGGATTCGGAGAAGCTTAGAAGTGATGAATAAAATATTTCCTTCTTGCCACGCAGTCTTAATTTCACTGGAAAGGAAACACCATCCCTCTTGGAGCCAAGTCAGTAAGTGATTCACAGTGAAACTGGTAGATCAAGAGGTCTGTTTTTCTTGCCTTAGTGTCAGTTGTTGTTTTCTGATGGGAGCCTGAGACTCCTGCACTTTAACTCATCCAGTGTTTTCCAGTGTTTGTAGTTATTAGCCAAGTGTTGCATCAAAACAGGCAGATGTGCAAATGCTGAAATGAACAGGAGGAACAGTTGTACTATGTATACAGCACAGGCAGAAGAACAGCCCAGCCTTCTCTGAAATTGGCATTCTCCTACTCCTTTTGTTCCTTCAGCTGTAAGCTAATGCTAAAAGGGGAAAGTTTTTTTAAGTCTGTTTCTCATTCAAGCAAATCCCTTTCTTAATGCATGATGACTTTACTAAATTATGCTAACATACAACCACTGTGGTCTTAGCTTCTGCTGCTCAGAAGAAATATATTGCTAAAGGAAGAAAAGACCTAGGTGAGAAAAAGCTTAGTTTTAAGCCATTATGCTTTCCTTCTTTACATAGATTGTCTGGTAAGCGCTCAATTTTCGTAAAGCTGGTGTTGTGTGCAGTGAAACTGGCTTCAGCAGCATCATGGCTTAGATCCTATGCTGTACTACTTATATACGGGTACTGCCCCTGGAAAAAAATGGACTTAAGGCCAGCTTGAGATTATTCGTTTTAGTTTGTAGAAATCTCTGCTTCAGAGCAAGGAAGAAAAAAGCAGAAGTACTTACCATCCCATGCATCGAACATATCTGTTATAAAATAATCAATGAAGGAAATTTGAGACTTGGGGATGCTGCAGGTGTTTCTATCAAATACTGGCATTACAACAGGCAGTCCCTGTCTCTTCTCTTCATCAGTCTAAAGAAACAAAACTCCAGTTAGCCCCTAGAGCTTTGCTGGTTTGCATGCTGGAGTAGCAAAGGCCAGGGGATTAGATGAATTGCAGTAGGAGATTTGAGGCAAACCTTAGAACTTCTGAGGTGAACTGCCTTGGTTTCATATGCTTTATTTCATCTGGAACAGGGACTGAAATCAACACCTCTTCCCTTTCACAGGTACTCTATTACTGTAGTGCTGTGATTGCTCTTAGCTCTGGTGAGACAGAACGCTCTAATCTGGTGATTAGGGCACACCAGCTAAAAATGGAAAATGGGGTTGCGGAGTCCTTTAGCAGAAGACAGGTTTGATCTCTCCGTTTTCCACACCTCTAGTGGCTATTTCAAACCATTTGTCTTTTAAGTAAGAGTGATGTTGCTGTCGCTACTTTCTTTGCTTGTACTGGGTTATAAGATGAATGGAAGTAAGGGTATGCCCTTTAACTCCGTGTCCACAACTGGAAGAGGGCTGGTTTTGCTGCACTCAGTATGGTGGAGGAGACAATCACCTCAATAGTCTTAGAATTTAATTAGAAAAAAATATTTTAAGTAGTATAGACAGCACCTAATGCTGGAATTGGCAGCAGAGCAGTCCCAAAAATTATCAGATGAGGTGAATGACCACCAGAACAGTTCTCGGCAACTCACATTGCTGCAGGTGAGCTAGTGCCTAAGATTGGCAATTTAAAGCTAGCTCATGATACTTTGACTGCTAGGGAGATATGACCTAAGTAATCCTTGATCTTACCTAGGAAGTGATCAAGTTTATTCACTATGATTAAAATGAAATTCAGACATGTCCCAGGCACTAACTACTATTTTCTTTCAGTAATAACTATCATATGTATGATCTGAATTTGGATGGTAGGCATGCCTGCTTTTCTGTCTCTCCATTTGTAGCTGCTGATTTCCACATCATTAGTAGCAAATAAAAGCTAAGAATCTATCAGTTGTTCAAATAAAGAACTAGAAGAGTGTTTAACTTTCAGGAAGCTGGTACATTTGTATTAGAAATAATTAATACTAGGAAAGGAAGTTGAGCTTCCAGTTCTGTCTGGAGAGATCCCATGTGATAAGCATTTACATGGTCCACATGTCTGCCACATTGTCTGCCTACCGTGACAATAGTTCAGGTGCCATTTTAGAAGACAAAGAGCCAGCCTGATGATTCAGTTGAGCGCTTTGTCAAGCATGGATCTTCATGCTCTCTTCAGGGGAGGTATTGGGACTAGAAGCTAGAATGGTGACAGTCTTGAATTTCAGCCAATTAAATTGACTAAGGTTAATCAAATAATTTTGTTTTGGCCAGACAGAGAAAGTTGAAAGTGTAAAATCTCCTTTCCATTCCGTACTGCAAGCTTCACAGCAAGTAAACTAGCTAGCTTTGACTGGGGTGAATTCTTCTGTATGAAAATAAGGGGCCAGTTCTGACTGGGGGCAAAAAGCATACATCTGGACTGCATGGTGATGCCAGGCAGACCCCGTGTGGAACAGCAGACCAGCCGACATGCACTTTCTTACATAACATAATAGTCAAATTATAAAAATATACATACCTGTGCAAAATACTCCTCTGAAATCCTCCCTGCCCATTCAATACATAGCTCTAGAGGGCGACATGGATTTGCTACATCCGCACATTTAATCATCATGCGCTTGATCAGTGTCTGGTTATCTGAAAAATTCTTTATATTGCCTGTACATTCACAGTCGCTGCCTTCGCTCTGTAAAAGAGAGTTGGTGACAGGGACTGGTGGCCAGCACCCCTGCTAGCAGGAGCGAGGGCATCATTATCAGCTTTATTGCACTTAGGCAGTAAGAGGGCACCCAGCCTGACACCTTCTTACTTCACGCAGAGCACCAGGAATTTGGAGGAGAAAGTGATGTCTGAGAACTGCAGCCTTGCTCAGAAACTAATGTTAGCCCCATTACATATGACAGTTGTGAAGATTCTCAGAATTAACAGCAAAGGTTGTGAAATAAAGGAGTCACAGGCTTTTTATCAGCTAGGGTGAGTTACCCTTCTCTGCCTCCTGGTCTTGCCCTCTTGGAACAGGACCAGGATAGGGGATGCATCCACCAACTGCAAGCCGATAAACCATCCTCACTGCTGAGTGTTTAAATCTGGGGGTGGTGATGGTAGGGGACAGCTTCATTTAGGTGAGTTTCTAGAGTTTGGTTTTCATTCCTAGGTGAGAAAACAGGCAGGCGTGGGGAGCAGGGGGTGAACCTACCTGCACAACTGACTGTTTCTTTTGCAGGCAGAAAAGCAGGTCTGTGCCATTCAGTTCCAGTATGTTTGCGAATAAAACTGCCTTCTTTGTGCCAGATTTTGAACCCTCTGCCTGGAATACTTTTTGGTCTTAGTTACCAGCTAGACTGAAGTCTCAGATGATCTATGAGATTAACAGTAGGAAAATACAGGAGTGGCAGGCACACTGACTGCAGAAAGTCTGTTTGCTAGGCAGTAAAACACTGAACTGCTTATTGACTGCTCTGGAGAGCGGGCAGAGGGGACAGAGTAGTTTTTACAAGTCTGCTGTGGCATCGTCTTCTGGGTCTTGAACAATTTAGAAGGGCAGAGGTATATTATATTCCTTATTGAGTAATAAAAAGCCTCCACCTCAGCTCACCATGGCATTAACACTATTCTCAAAATAATATATTTGTGTAATTATGGCCTCTCTTCACTGCTAAATTCAGCTCTTGAGTCAAAAACTGAACATAAATACTTTTTACCACCATGACTAAATTAATGTCTTTGTGGTTTATGGGGAGATATTTTGTAGTGACTCTTGCCAATTCAGGCATTAATCTTATAACTTTATGTTTAGCAGTTAATTTTTTTCAGCATGGGTAGCCCAGGAAAGAGCTGCCAGATTAACCCTGCTCCTTAACTGCTGTTCAAGATCAAAAATAGGAAGAGCCACTGTTAACAATATGGAACAGAACAACCTAATACTGGGAAAGCCCCAAATCTGTAATACAGGTGGTTCTGTGCTCCACTTTTATTGCTCTCCAACTCTTGTACATTTTAAAAGAGCCTCTGCTATAAATGGGTAAGATAAAGGGGAGTGAGTCAAAGAAAATCTTTTCTATAGGTTACAAAAGCTGATTGCAGTAGAATGAATGGAGAGCATTTAAAGGGTCTTTAGGAAGTGCTGGAACAAATGGATTCATGGGATAAAAGGGAGATTCCCAGAAGTGTATCCAGAGCTTGGAAACACCATGGTTTCAGTGAGCCTTGTGAATCTAAATCCTACAGGCCAATGTGGGGATGCCAGAAAACTAAAGAGATTTTAAAAGGGTGGAGATGGAGGAAACATTTGAGAAACACACTTAAGCTGTCAGAAGGAGAAATGAAGCACTGGGAGAAGCCACATTCCCAGTGACAGCTCAGAGGGGTTTTTTTAGAAAATGGTGGAGCAAGCTGCTATCTGGTCCACATGTAAGTACAGAGAAATCCGGCAGCCAGTAATTCCACGCCACCCACTGATGTGGACCTTCCTTTCCTCTCAGCTGTGATTTAAAGTGGGATGCCCACTGTCCTGGCTAAGCCTGTGCCATGAGGGCAAACCCATGAAACACAGCACCAGGCAATGCGCTGGGAGCGCAGTGCAGAAACAGTGATAGGGGCCCTCAGCACTGCCCAAACCACGTCCCCCTGTGCTGTGGAACTTCTGGCACTGAAGATGATCAGGCTAACTCAGACCCCGTGCCACATCCAGTGAGCCCTCCAGAGCTTGGAAGTGCTGGGGAGTACAGTGCAAAGTGTCCACAGAGCTAGTGAAGTTCAGCAGCATTTGTGATTTCCAGCTCAAACTGTTGGGAGAACGGAGTTCAGCGGTACCTAGAAGCAGGACAGTTCAACTGATGTAATGCTGTCCTTAAAGTCATAAACCCCACTGGCCCTGACTGTTCTCTGCACCTATAACAGTCAACAGTGCAAAAAGTCCAGTTATGGAGAACTGACAGAAGCTACTTTTATTTGTTTTTAATATCACTGACCTTCAATTTAGTCTGATTTTTTCAATGTTTCTAACAAAGCACTATTTTCACTAAGCTGTTATAAGATGGTCTTTGCTTAGGTGAGTAACACTGCCCTTTTAGAACCCTGTCAGTCACTGAGCACTCTACCTCAAAGGCAACAAAAGAAGGTAAAGAGGGTCCTGGGCTGGGGAACTTGGAGGCATTTTATGAAATACACCCTGGCTGGTGATGGAGCATTAGGGTGTATAACTGAGAGGAATAAAAGCCCAGACACCTCTTGGTACAATCAGGAATGGGGATGGGGTGGTGAGGTCTCAGGAAGCAATGGAGTTACTCCTCATGACTTGAAGGATCCAGATCACACGGACAGAAAACCATAAGGGCAGGCTCCTCAGTTACAATGCCAGGCTTGGGCAAATCCCAGTGTTTGGAGGCAGGACTGTAGGCACAAATGCTGACGTGGCTTCATGCACAGAATTTTGCATGTACAAAAGCACCCACCTGCATGCTTTGTGAACACCAGATGGCTTTGAAACCAATGTTTATAAAATGAAGTGTTTAAATAGGCTAAGGGCAGAGCTGGACATAGAAGACAAGAAAATAAAAGTATTTTTTCACATTTTGAGGTGTGAGGTCACAAATGCAATTGTGTGTTTTGGGCATTACCACTGTGCAAATTAATACAATGTGAATGAAAATGATACTTGACGTTATCTTGGAAGAACTTCACTGGAATGTCCAAAGGCATCAAGTCCTGGAAGCACTTACGTGTGAGCTGGTCTCCTCAGATGCCATTGGCTTGTTGATGCTGTTCACAAATTTGTTCACGTGCTCAAAGTGCTTCGTCATCTCTGTTGCCAAAACCATATCAATAATGGCCTGGCGCAATGTCCGGTAGTGATTTCTAGGAAAGAAAAATAGTTCCTGCTCAAAAGCCTGCCAGACAGAGCTCCGTCATTTTCTCATTCCTGCCCAGACAGCACTGCAAAACACTGCTTGGGGGCTCATCCACATGACTCAGCACCTTGAGAGTTATGAACAGTCTAGGGTTACAGGAATGGACTAGATCATGCCCCTCTGGGTTCCTCCAGCTCTGATTTCCTATATTGCCTTTTTGTCTGTTATTTTTATCTAATGAAAACCAATCCCCTGAAAGCATTAAAAATTTATGACTCAATTTTGTCATGCTGTAACATGAAGACAACTTCTCCAGGAATGGCACCAACACATTTCCATCTCACTGTATTTTAGCTTGGAACTCAAACCTCAGGTTTTTCAGAAACCAACAGTGCTATGGGGAGTAGACAAATTCATTACTTGTTTGGGATCAGGCCCTTTCCCTTTCAGATCCCTTTCTCTCTCACCCTGTCCCTGCAAAAGCTAGGCTGATGCAATGGGAAACTCCCAGGCTACGTGCATGTCCAGCAGCAGGGTCCCTCCAACTCTCCCAGAGCTTCAGCTCCCTCTGCTACCATCCCTTTCTGTCCCATGTGAATACAGCAGTGCTGGCAAGCATGGGGCCATGTGCAGGCACAGCATGCAGCATCTGGCTGCTTGGGTGGAAACACATGGCCCAAAAAAGATATTTCCAGACTCCTGCAATGAAAAGGCAGCAGGTCAAGATGCAACCTTGAGGCTGCCAGCTAGACCATGCCAATGTAATCCGTAAAAGATGATCACACACCTTTATATGCTTCTACAAAATACAAATTGGAGGTCAGGTGGGGAAAACTAAAACCTTTTTGAAAATCATGTTTACATAGGATTCTGGAAGAGGTTAAATATTAATGTCTCTATTCAAATTATATTTTCTGGTTTAGAAGATAGGCTTTTAACCTGCCCCATACTAAAATCTCCAAACAAGCAACCCACACATGCACACTCCCCTTCTCCAGCGGACCCACCTATCAATATTCTTGAAAATGTTGCATTTGCTGTCTTTAGTTGTAAGCTGAAATGCCAGTGCTGTGTGATGACTCTCTAATACAGCTGTGTCATTGTAAAGGACAGCTAATTCACTGCCCGCATTGCACAGGAAAGAGTTGGTCCGTCCAGGGTGGTCTATGTCATGAATGGTGGCAGCTATTAATGCAGCCACCTCATCTAAATGGTCAAGACTTCCCTACAGGAAGAGAGAAAAATCACGATGTGGCACAAAGATTACAGTAAATAATTTCTGATCATTTTCAGGTACCCACAAATATGCAAATGTAAGCTTCAGTGCAGGGATTCTACCTCCTTGCAATTGTTTTGCACTCACTGTGCCCACAGGTTACCTACTCCAAAACTCGCCCTCCCGCCCTTACCCAAACCCTCTTTCCTTAATGAAGTTTTTTACTGTGCTGTCACCTAAGCAGACCTTTGCATTAAATCCTCTAATGGTGGATGGTGTCTCTAGTGGTGTCCTTCCAGTTTGTGTGCTTTCCTGAATGCCCCTGTACTGACTCTGCTCCTACACCGCTTGTGTTTTAGAGTAGGATAGGCTAGGATAGGACAGAATATTTCACTTGGAAGGGGCCTACAATGATCGTCTAGTCCAACTGCCTGACCACTTCAGGGCTGACCAAAAGTTAAAGCATGTTATCAAGGGGCATTGTCCAAATGCCTCTTAAACACTGACAGGCTTGGGGCACCCCGCTAGGAAGCCCGTTCCAGTGTTTGACCACCCTCTCAGTAAAGAAATGCTTCCTGATGTCCAGTCTAAACCTCCCCTGGTGCAGCTTTGAGCCATTCCCACGTATCCTATCACTGGATCCCAGGGAGAAGAGACCAGCACCTCCCTCTCCAAAGCTTTTGCAAAGCTTTGTTAAGAGCTGTTACTAACAGCCCGTTACAAAGAAATAGAAAAAAGCCAGGTTCCTCCCCCCACTCCCCCATTGTTGCTACTTAAAAATGTAAATTCCTTACTCATATAAACAGACTTTGGAGAAACTGTGTGGGCCTCCAGGCATCACAGGAAAAGACTTCAAGGGCAGAGTGACTTTATGAAGCCAGGACCATTATTTAAGTAAACATCTGACTTTTGAATGACACACATAAAGTGGTAAACACACCGAAATCCTAGCCCAGAGGACTCCTGGGTGGTGGTTATACCTTAACTCTCTCCTTCCCAAGAAAGAAGGCAGTAGCATGCAGGACATCTGCAGCATGTGTGGAGTTGTGGTATGAGTTGGAGGCGTGGTAGTTGGCTTCAATCACCTGCAGCCATGCTCGCAGTGTTGCTTCCGAACAGTTTAAAAACTCACAGACTCCAAACCGGGCAAAAACTTTCAAGCCCAAATACACTAATGGCCTGAAAAATAATAGAAGAAAAAGGTCCTGCTGTAAAATAGGAACTTCTGATATTCTAAAGAGCAATGGTTTTGACAAAGAAACCAACAAGACCTTAACAATAAAAGGTGGGGGGGAAATGTTAAGCATTTTTAAATTGCACATCTATTACCTCTGAAAAGCCTGGCCAAGGTTACAAATTATTACATCTACATCCTTTCAGACATTATTTTAATATGTTTTGTAGAAATGGTGCAGTTCCACTAGAGTTTCACCAATTCTTGTGGCTTCAGAAAAAAATCTTAAAAGCTCAGGTCTTCGGTGTTTTTAGTATCTGTCAACCAATAAAAAATGCATTTTTTTCTGAGGAGGAAAAGTGGACTTTGAACATGACGTGGGCACATCCCAAAGGCTAAAAAGCCCTAAGACAAAAAAAGTCAAATGTTTACTCTTTCAAATAATCCTGTGACTTCAGGGGGTCCAGATTTCTACTTCCTGACTATTTGAAGTTGACAATATGCAAAGTATATTGTTGCTCCTCAGAGCAGTTCTTAGCATCAGGTTACTATTTCATATGAACTCTTCTAGCTTTAGGAGGACTGGATCACTTTCTAGAGCTGAGGCAGAAGTCTGCCATTGGTGAATGTCTCCTCCCTTGAATTCCAAATGCTAACAGGCAGCAGATAACTCTGTGTGTGTGTGTGCGTGTGTGTGTGTGTTAATGTCTAAAATTGAACTTCTGAACTCTAAAGCAGAAGAAGCCTGCTACTTTCTTGCTTCAAGTGGTATGGGCTGGACTAAACAGAAGTGGCATGTCCTGAATCCTACCAGCAGTGGTCTTTCAGAGGGAATTTGAGGTTTGGTGAACGTAATGCTGGGGAAGACAGTGATGAGCCTGTGTGTGAAATAGTAAGTAGGGTAAAATCTCTAATCTTGTTGGTTCTTAAATCCAAATCCACTCTGGGTTGTCATTTACTCTGTGTTGCCTGTGACAGGGTCCTATCTATCAGTCACATCTTTCATTCCTGCAAGATTCCTCAGGGCTTCTGAGCTGAGAAAGGCATAACCAAAAGCCAACATCTGCAAATTAAAACCAGGCAAATGCAGATCCCCCAAATGGCCATTTCTTCAATCACAGTACAAGAGACCTGATAGTCTCTGCAATTCTTTGCATCTTGGAATGAAAATCACTTTTCTCTGTGGATGACTTGCTTACTTTTGTGGTCTGCATGACCTCAAAACTCCTGGAGTCTTCTTTCATTATAAGCTTTAAAATCTCAGGCTCTTGATCCTGTCACTGGTTTATCCTCCATCCCAGTTTTTTATCCCTATAATCAAAAGCCACAGTTGCCTCAGAGCTTCCTTAATCATAGGGTGATTTAGGTGAGGGAGTGGAGAGGCTTTGTTTTTTCCACATGACCCA